GACCCACTCCTAGCAGAGATTCAAAATAAAGACAAGAGAGGGTACAAATTAGAAGTTAGATGGCCAAAAAACCTAAGCAAGATGGAGACACATATATAATATATACATATATCGGTTATTGTATATGCAGATGATACTACCTATATTACCTCCAGTAAAGAGGAGCTAGAAGAAATTATTAATATAGCACAAGAATTTTACAAGATAAACAATATTGAAATTAATAGCAAGAAATCAGAGCTTTTAGTAATAGGTGGTGAGAAGACTAAAATCCCAAGATGGGAGCAACAGATGAAAAAGTTATAGAGAAGAAAAACAATGAAATGACAAGATTTCTTGGTATTTTGTTATTTAGAAAGGCCAACTACTCACACATAATTAATATTGTTAAAAAAGAAATACAAGCAGTAATTAAAGCAATATACAAAAAAAACACAACTCTTGCATAGCTAGTTTATATAAACAATAGGGTCCTAATCTCTAGACTAGAATACAGGATACAATACTGCATCATCTCAAAAGCCCAGTATGACAGACTGCAGAGCCCAGTGTTTAAAGTTATTAAAAATAAGTCAGAATTAGCAAACATGACCATAAATACAATTATGATACACAGAAATATAGTAGGGCTTAAAACAGTATGGCAAAACCAAATAGCCTATCATATAACTGAGTTAAGAAAAAGATTAAACAGTAAGAATAAAGTGGGCAAGGCAACATGAATCAGAATACAGCAAGCCCAGATTGATTGCAAGAGTATATAGTATATAATGGGGCTAGATAGTGAAAGGTTAAAAAGAATATAGCCCAAACATAATCTGGTATACAAGATTATAGCAGTAGCCAAAGAGATGAACTTAAGCATAAGATCCAAAGAAAGAAAAGATGACTTGAGGTTCACAGAGTCAGGCCTTGAAATTATCGACCTTCTAGATGATATCGATATGAAAAAGTTTGTACAAGAAAAAGAAATAGTAATTATAGTACTTAAGCAGTTATTAGATAAAGAAAAGGTGAACCTGTTTTCATAGAACTAAATCAAAAAGTGCAAAAAACAAAAAGCAGCAGGAAAACCCCCAAACTGGTTTAAAAAAATTGAAGAAAAGGTTCTTGAGAAGAATAACAAGAAAAGACAAGTTAAACCAGATCTAAGAACAAGAACGGTTAATCTCTTGTCACTTCAAGTAGTTACTTCACCAATAAGTAGTGACAAAAGAAGGGAAGAATGGGTGCTAATTGGATCTGGCAATATGATAGAGATAGGTAAAGTAATAGAAAAAAAGAGAAAAAAAGACAGTTATGATCAAGCATTGGAAAGCTACCTCAACTAACAAGAGAACACACTCACACTTATCAAATGTAAAGGCTATAATACAAATGTGAAAGAATATAATGAAGCAAACATCTCCTGTACAAAAAGAGGCTGGAAAAATAAAATAAAAACAATCAGCCCTAGATTTATTCAGAAAGTGGCTGACCAAAAAGAATACAAAAACTGTGGATCCCTCTAGGTTGCTTTATAGATATACCCCAACAGAAAAGACCTCTTCTAAGTAATCAAGAAAGCAACCAGGAACTATGTATAAGCGATATCATTATACACTCACTGGAGAAAGACCAAGCGATCGAAAATATACAAGCAGCAGTAGAAATTAAGAAAGCAGCAGCTAGGCTAAAAGGAGAGAAGAAGATTTCCTTCTATACAGATGGCTCTTTGTTTAACCCGACCAAGAAGCCAAAGAAGAAAAAAATAGGCCTAGGCTGGGTAGTGGTTTCAAAAAAGGAAAACAGAATAAATAGACAAGTAATAGCTAGGTTTGCTAGAGCACTAAAAGACTGGCTATTCTCAACAAGAGCAGAGCTAGGTGCAATATAGACAGCTCTGCTAGCAGCTCTATACAAAGCAAAAATCAAGATTTGCACTAATAGTGCAGTAGCAATACAGATAATACAAACAAGCCAAAACAAAGACAAGGTTTCAGAAATACTAAAAAAAAAAAATTTGTGTTTTTTAAAGCAAATACAAAGAACTATCGATCTAAAAGAGTTAAGAATTTGGTTTATCAAAATAAAAGCGCATAGCAGGGTAAGAGAAAATGAGGTGGTGGACAAGCTCGCAAAAAAAGGTGCTCATGATGCAGTTGTAATCATCCCAAGATGGCTATGGAACAAGAATGCAGCAACAGAGCTAAAGTGGAAAAACCTCAGAATAGATGATGCTACACAAAGTTTTATTATGTAACTAACAGAGATTAACATAGATGCAGAATGGAAAAATCTTAAGAGTATAAAGAGCTAGGTAGATCAAGAATCAGAAACTGAAGCAGTCATGTGGAGTGAGATCTGGAAGAGCATAGGGCAGGTAAAAAGAAAGAACTGCGGAAGTACAAGCCAAAACAAAGAATAGATTTTTAAAATAAAGTGCTTAAACGGCTTACTCCCAATGATATAGATTCTAAACAGAAGAAAGGCAGAGATATATACAGACAGTATCTGCAAGATATGCTGTCAAGAAACAGAAATACAAGAACATCTTGCTATATGCCTGAAACTTTAGAATTTGTAGAGCATCATTGAAAAAGAAGGAAGTGAACTGCTGATAAAAAAGGTAGCAAAAAAAAAAGAGAAGTTGGAAATCTCAGACATGTGCAAAATATAGGAGCTAATTTTTAGCAAAAACATACAAGAAAAAACTATAGCAAGAATAGAGATAATAAGGGAGTTATTTACAAAATATAGATAGAATAACCTATGCAAGATTCTAGGTAAGACAAGAAGAGCTAGCAAGTTCACCCAGGCCATTCTCAACCACTTCCAGTACCAGTTCTTCAAGTATATATGGAGCTTTAGATGTGAACTAGTTGCAGATTGGGAAAAGAAAAATGATATAACCAAAGAGAAAAAAAGAGAAAAAAAGGAAAAAAAGAAACTCAAAGAAAAGAAAGAAGTAAACAAAGAAAACATAGCTCTACAAGATCATAGCCAAGAGAGAAAAGTAGCAAAAGTAGGCAAAGCTAAGAATAAAAAGAAAAGTTCAAAAACAAATGAGGAAAAAGACAGAATAATTGAAGATTGAATCTTATAAGAAAAGAAGCCAGCATAGTCCTTACTGGCCAAGATCTGAAATAACCAATAAGTGTTTTTGACAAGGCATATAACAGCCCACTTATGACCAAGACAATATATAGTAAGAAATTCTTAGTAAGTTAAGGAATCCAAAAGAGGTAAACAATTATTATAGCAGGTCATACTAGATATTTAACCTAGTGAGTCTTTATTAAAATAGAGCTACAAGTTGTAAGAATTTGGTACTTTGTATATAAATGATATAATAGTTTATATAAATAAAGACAGAATTGGATACGAGCAAGGCCTCACCTTAATATTAAAAAAAAAAAAAATAAAGACAGAATCGCTTAAAAAAAAAAAAAAAAAAAAAAAATTTTTTATCTAAATTTCATTAATAAAACCTACTTATAGGCTATAGTTCAAATTTCTCCCTAAAACCTAATTTGTATGATCATTGTTATAAATTTTTTAAAGTTCTAGTTTGTGAACATGGCTATCATTATAGTAGAGGCCTGCATTGGGTCCCAAAGCCCGGTTCAGCCCGGCCCGGCCCGGTCCATTTTGCGGGCCGGGCCGGGTTTATCAATTAAATTTTATAATTGTAGGCCGGGCTGGGTTTAAAATCTCATAATTGCAGACCGGGCCAGGCTAGACCAAGTTTAATAAGTAAATATAATAATTACAAACTAGATTAAATCAAGAAATTTTTATTTATTAATTAAAATAACAATTATTTTGTTTATTAAAAATTTAATAAAAGCCTCTTTGTTTATTAAAAATCTTTTTATTTATTAAAAGCCTTTTTGTTTATTAAAAAAATTATTTTTTAAAAGCCTCTTTGTTTATTAAAAATCTTTTTGTTTATTAATATTTATTAAATAATTTTTATTTACTAAAAGCCTTTTTGTTTATTAAAAATCTTTTTGTTTATTAAAAGTTTATTTGTTTATTAAAATAATTTTTATTTATTAAAAGCCTCTTTGTTTATTAAAAATCTTTTTGTTTATTAAAAGCCTTTTTGTTTATTAAAATAATTTTTATTTATTAAAAGCCTCTTTGTTTATTAAAAGTTTTTTTGTTTATTAAAAATCTTTTTGTTTATTAAAAGCCTTTTTGTTTATTAAAATAATTTTTGTTTATTAAAAGCTTTTTTGTTTATTAAAAGTCTTTTTGTTTATTAAAAAGTTTTTGTTTATTAAAAGCCTTTTTGTTTATTAAAATAATTTTTGTTTATTAAAAGCCTTTTTATTTTTCAAAAGTCTTTTTATTTATTAAAAGCCTATTTGTTTATTAAAAGCCTCTTTGTTTTTTAAAAGCCTTTTTGTTTATTAAAAGCTTTTTTGTTTATTAAAAAATTTTTATTTATTAAAAGCCTTTTTGTTTATTAAAATAATTTTGTTTATTAAAAGCCTTTTTAAAAGCCTTTTTGTTTATTAAAAGCCTTTTTGTTTATTAAAAGCCTCTTTGTTTTTTAAAAGCCTTTTTGTTTATTAAAAGCCTTTTTGTTTATTAAAAACATTAAAGGCTTTTTTGTTTATTAAAAATCTCTTTGTTTATTAAAAGTAAAAGCCTTTTTATTTATAAAAATTTTTATTTATTAAAAATTTTTATTTTTTAAAAGCCTCTTTGTTTATTAAAAGTTTATTGTTTATTAAAAACTCTTTTGTTTTTTGAAAGCCTCTTTGTTTATTAATTTATTAAAAGCCTTTTTGTTTATTAAAAATTTTATTATTTTTAAAAGCCTTTTTGTTTATTTATTAAAAACATTTCTATTAAAAGCCACTTTATTATTAAAAATCTTAATACAAATTAAAATTTTAAAAAATATATAAATAGGCCTACTTTTGTTTTTTAAAATTAAGTTTTGTCTTTGATTTTTTGACTTTTTAATTTTTTTAAAAATAATATATTTTTAAAATATTATTTCTAAAATGTTTGAAAATTTAACTCTTGAGCAAATTAAATTAAAATTAAAAAATAATGAATTTATTACTCGTAAAAAAAATGGAAAAAGTGATGTCTGGCAAAATTTTTTAGAAATTACAGATCTTGAAAATAATTTTATTGGTTATGTTTTATGTAAAAATTGTGGTCAAATTTGTACTTATTCACAAAAATCTGGAACTTCACATTTATTACGTCATTCTTGTGCTTCTTCTAGTAAACAATCAAAAATTACAACATTTTTACCAAAACAATCTATTCCATCTAATATTAAAGAATTAACTATAAATAAATTAGTTAGTTTTGTATGCAAAGATTTATGACCTTTTGAAATTATTACAGGTAAATAAGTTAAATTTTTAAATTAAAATAATAACATTAATATTAAATATATTATTAATTTTACTTTAGGAGATGGGTTTAAAGAATTTTCCCAAGAAATGATAAATATTGGTGCTAAATTTGGACAAATTCAAGTTGATGATTTATTTTCACATCCAACAACTATATCTAGAAATGTTATAAAAGAAGCTGAAAAAATTAAATCAAATTTAACAACTAAATTGAATCCTATTTTTCAAACAGTTGGTGGTGCGTTTACTACAGATATGTAGACAGATGATTATAAAAAATTAAGTTATATTTCACTTACTGTTCATTATCTAGAAAATTAGCAATTAAATGAACAAATTTTAGCTATTTCAAAATTTCCAAATATTAGCTATACAGGAGATAATATTAAAAAGGTTATTTTTGAACTTTTAAAAAAATTATAATCTTATACCTGATAGAACAATGAAAAGATATGTTTTTATTACAGATTCTGGTGCTAATTTTCTTATAGCTTTTAAAAATTATAATCATTTACCATGTATTGCTCATAAATAAGTTTATTTTTTATTATAATTTATAATTATATTATATTAATATTTTTAAATTATATTTGTTAGACTTAATACAAT